CTAGGGAGGAGGTCTCGTGAACTACGCCAACCTAAACGTCGTATTAAAGTCAAACGGTTGCTGTATAGCCGAATTCAGCCAGCCTCTTCTGGTGAGATCGACCTACGAATCTCTTCTTCATGCACTTTCATACGAAATGAAATTTCTCCTAACAATGTTATCTCAAGAAATTCATCGAAACCCAGTTTCCATTCGTATCTAAAAATATCTACTTTAAAAATGCCATTATAGGACTTATTTTAGTTAGAAAACGTTCGTAAAAACACAATAGTTTTTCTATGTTGTTTTTTTTGGAAGTGGATAAAACTTGTATGATATATAAGGAAAAACTCTTTGAATATCCATTGAGTTATATTGCTTGTCTGTTGCTACGAATATAAAAATAATATTAAATGAGTAGAACCATGCTCTATAAATGACAAGCTATTATATTGTTGAGTAAAAAAGTTACGCTCAGAGTATATCTAAAACTACCATTTAGCCCCCCTGCGATATAGGGACAACATTTTGCCTAAATAAATTTGCCAAAGTTGTATTAAAACTCTTGCTACATTTAATTAAAGGAATACATCAAAACTTTAAGTGACGTTATCTTTTTACCTTCTGATGAATAATTCCATTTATTCCGTTTGTTAACGTATCATTTGTTAGAGTCCTATTTGAATGGGTTTACTTGCTGTGCCTTTAACACTCCTTTCTTTATTCTTTTGTGCTGGTTTTTCCAACACACATTATGATCTTGGGGAATTAAGGTTATTTAACTTCAATCATTAATTTAAAATTACAGAGAGAGGACAAAGCGACTCTTTTTCTTCTCTTATGACAGTTATTTACGTAATGCTTTTCCATCTGATGAACTAAGACCCTTGACATGTGATGGTCAGGATACCTGGGGAAGTTTTTCTCTTTCCCTTATTGATTCGCTTGATACTTTGGTTTTAATGGGGAATCACAGTGAGTTTCGGCGTGCTGTCTCTCTCGTTCTTGCTCATGTTGATACAAGCAAAAATATCAACGTATCTGTTTTCGAGACAAATATTCGTGGTAAATTAGTTATATATAATTTTTTCTTCATAAGTTATTGGTGGACTTATTTCAGCTCATTTACTATCTAAGATAGCAAGTGCGGATTTAGAGCCAGGTTGGCCATGTTCTGGCCCTCTTTTACGATTGGCAGAACGATTTGCCGAAAAACTCCTTCCAGCTTTTGATACAGCGACTGGAATGCCATTTGGAACAATTAACCTTCTATTAGGCGGAGTTCCACCCCAAGAAACTTCGGTAACTTGCGTCGCTGGTGTTGGAACATTTATCTTGGAATTTGGAGCTCTTTCAAGATTAACAGGCACGCTTTGTCGTCAGATTTTTTAATTTTCATTAAACTCATGCATTAATTTATTTTGGGTTACTAAGATTATTATTGTTTCTTGCCTGTACAACGATTTTTCTCTCGGCCACCCTTAAAATGCTGTGTATCTACCCTGCTTTTAGTCCCAGCTGCCAAGTAATGTATGGCTGTGAGTGAATATCCTTACTTTGCTATTTTAGTAACTTCATTTTTAGTAGTTTAGAAAAATGAAATAAATTAATTCTGAGTGGTGTGTGTGTACCGAATAGCCCTGAACTGCGCCTTCTGCCTATCTATCTTAAAACCTGAACTTGATTTATGATAATATTAATGGACGCTTTTATTTAAGATTAGCTATATTTGCAATGTAGATACAAATAATTTGTTTCTTTAAAATATTTTTTAATTTTTTCCTGATTTGCAGGCTGTTTAGCCTGACATTGCATTTTTCTTAAGATAGAGCTCAAATTGCCGGTTACTTTCTTTTTATTAATACGTAAAATAATTTTATTTCGACTTAATTTTAAATAGCCTTAAATATTAAACTAAATTAAGTAAGAATTTGTTCGACCTTGTTTTCGCAACTTGATCATATTGGTAGAAAGACTTAGAGTAACGTACCTTGTCCCGAGTCCATTGTATTCATAATCATTTCCAAAGTCGGACCGTGGACATGGTACATTCCCATACATTTCGCCGGCATCGTCAGTGAGTTTTACCATTCTTAGAACCATATTACAAATTGTTAAAGAGACAAGTGAAGCCGATCCTTTGACCAAACGTGTGCTAAACAGTTATGGTATCTCCCCTTCTG